AGTCTGTGGACGGGTCAGATTCGACCTGGAGGGATGTGGGCAGTGGAGTCCCCCAGGGCTTGGTCCTCGGGCCCACACTGTTCAATTTCTTTATTAGTGATTTGGACGAGGGGGTGAAAAGCAATCTGTTCAAATTTGCTGACGACACCAAGATTTGGGGCGAGGTGGGCATGCTAGAAGGGGGGACAGGATACAACTGGATCTGGAGAAGTTACAGGGGTGGGCGAATGCGAGTAGGATGGGATTCAATACTGACAAATGTAGTCATGTTATCAGTCCTATCTTCATCTGAAGCAGCTAGTACAAGTTATTGTTAGAGACAGGACACTGGACTACATGGACCATTGATCCATTATGGTAATTTGTTTGTATTTTCTGAAGGCTACTCTGGACCACTTCATTACTGGTTACTTCTACTGAACACCTGATGTTTGACAGATCATACAAATCTTATAAACCAGAAAACTGGCTGGCTTTTTAGAACTAGAATATAAACCAGCAGCATACCTATAGGCCGGGGAACTCCCTTCTCATCAGCACAGTGACAGAAAGGGATCTTGGAGTCATTATCGATTCCAAAATGAACATAGGCCGCCAATGCGAGGATGCGGTCAGTAAGGCTAGCTGCACCTTGTCATACATCCACAGATACATCACGAGCAGGGTCAAGGAGGTGATCCTCCCCCTCTATGCCACGCTGGTCAGGCCACAGCTGGAGTACTGTGTCCAGTTCTGGGCGCCGCACTTCAGGAGGGATGAGGACAGCATCAAGAGGGTCCAGAGAAGGGCCACTCGCATGATCCGGAGACAGGAGGGCAGATCCTATGAGAGGCTACAGGACCTGAACCTGTTCAGCCTTCACAAGAGAAGGCTGAGAGGGGACCGACTTAGTAGCCATCTATAAACTTACCAGGGGGGACCAGCAGAGAATGGGAGAGTCCCTGTTCCCCCGAGCACCTCCCAGAGTAACAAGGAATAACGGTCATAACTTGTTTGAGAGTAGGTTCAGACTGGACATTAGAAGGCACTACTTCACAGTCAGGGTGGCTAGGATCTGGAACCAACTTCCAAGAGAAGTGGTGCTGGCTCCTACCTTGGGAGTCTTTAAGAGGAGGCTTGATGATTACCTTGCTGGAGTCATATGAGCCCAGTATTCTCTCTTGCCTGGGGCAGGGGGTCAGACTTGATGATCTACTTAGATCCCTTCTCACCCTACATCTATGAATCTATGAAACTTAAATTCAATTCAGAAAGTTCTAACTGGTCTCTCTTACAGAGGCCCTTCCCTTTCTACACTTCTTTTGCTTAATTAAAAAAAACAGAAAGCCAGTGGAGGAATGACATGATTAAAGCAATGAACTAGAGAAAATAAGTTTTTTTTAGCAACATTCTAAATTGATGTGGTGTGGTACAATATTGTGTTTTTCAAGGCAAAAGAAAAAAAGTTGCAATAACTAAGATGAAAAGTGGTAGTAGCCTGGACAAAGCGATTTAGCTGTGTGAAAGGCCCCATCCACACTGGCCAAGTAACGCCTATTAAAACTAGTTTAATCCGAGAGTGGTTTTAAAATGTTTAAAATTAGTTTAGGGATTTAAGAGTGCAGACACAAACAATTCATAAAATGCTGATCCTTGAATTTTATGCCAATCTTCTAAATCTAACCACATCAGTGAACACTATTAGAACTGTCACCTTGCGTAAATGTTCTTTTTTTTTTCAAATCCTACACTTTTCCCTCTAAAAACCATATGACTGACAATGTATACTCTTGTATTTATTTGGTTTCCTTCTGGTTAGTAGTTACCATAAGTATGTCATAAATAAACTATATGACTAAGCGGGAAAGAGAAGCATTATTGAACTTTTATATACAACAAATTGGTACAAGTTGAACAAAAAGCTTTTACTGCTTAGATCTATGGACAGGGAAGTCTAAATTTTATTATGTATTTAGCATTTATCAGTTTAATATTAGGATTCATCAGGTCATTTTTGTGGGGATTTAATCATTAAGAATACTTTATAGGAGTAAAATATTTGATGTATTATTAATAATTCCTAGGGTTATTTTAAATCGAAAGTTCCTTGATTTACATGAATATCATCAACCCATTACTTTCAAATAATCAAATATTATTAAAAGTATGTACGTGTGTATATGTATATACACACACATCATGTATGTATTTATATTACGTGTATGTGCATGCACATACACACACTCTCTCTCTCTCTCTTCCCCCCAAATTACTGTCTGCATTATAAGAAATGAAGATATTTTTGTCAGTCCTCTTCTGTTAGCCATTCCAGTGATATTACTTTACATGAGTATTATGCTTTGTGTATTTGGAGCTTTCAGATTATGGACTAAAACCCAATGAACCTGAAACTCATGTAGATATAGATGTACACACACATATTGTATATGTATATACATATGCATGTAGATATCTAAACAAGTTTCAGGCTCATTGGGTTTTAGTCCATAATTTTAAAGCTCCAAATACTTCTTTAGTATTATGCTTTGTGTATTACTGGAATGACTAGCAGAAAAAAGACTTAAGATATGAAGTTATTTTTGTATACTGTAGGCAATAATTTGCAAGAAACTTTTAAAGGAAGTTGCTTCTGCATTCTTGGAAAGAAAAAGTCCATTTCCAAAAGAGCATGGGATGATTTTGGCTCCTGAGTTACCATTTTTCTCTGTACAATATTCTTTTTTTTTTTTACATTTTTGGCCATATTGGAGCTATGTCCAAGTATAACAGCAGTAACATTTACCTCAACAATCTTTCTACCACTGGTATCTAGCTTATTTTGTAAAACGTTTAAAGACTAATACTTTGTTTTTGTGTTATCTAAGGATTACAGAACACTATCATAAACTGAGGTCACAATCCTATATGATGTCTAGAATGAGCAGAGACCTTGGGATCACTGGATGCCCTACTGACTTCAGTGGGGATCTGCACAGAATAGTAGGGGCAACTCCTTCTGCAACGGATTACAGCAAGATTTATTTATACAAGTGCTCTGGGGAGTTTAGCCTTACTAAGAAGTAAGAACTTAACTGTAAATAATTTAAGACTTACCTCCCCTTATGAGACAGAATTATTCCACCCATTTTACAGATGAATAAATTAATGCACAAAACGATTACGTGATCTGCCTAAGGCCATAAACAGCAAATCAACCAAATCAGGGATGTCTAACTTCAGAGTGCTGGCAGCCACATGCTGCACTGGTTGCGGGCATGGAGCCACATACGATATGGACTGTATGGGCTTCCTGGGTCAGTCATGTGCAGCCTTCCCATTTACCCCCCTCCCCTCCTCTTCTGATTGCTGCTGCATAAGTAGGCTTGGCAGGATTTGATTTTTATAGGTAAATGTTGATAAACATCAATTTCACCTCACACTTACAGACCCACAAAAAATATTTCCATTGTTAAATAATCAAAATTCACAGAAAGGGAACATAAGAAAGAGTATGGCTGATGGAGAGTGTGAACACAAGAGGAACAGAACCGTGCTGACTGCAGTTTGGACTGCAACTCCCTGAAACCTCAGGGGACTGCAAATGAAGCAGAAGTGACAAAATGGAGAAAGGAGCTACTGGTGAGTAGAGCTGGAACCGATGGCAGCTCTGCCACTCAGTTGGCAGCAGTCTTACAGAAGTTGTGTTTGTCGCAGCAGGCAGTTAACCTGCACTATAATAATTGTATACCGTCACTGATAAATTGTATGCTCTGTACAACTCTAATTTTGTGCAACCCTGAAAATTTAAATTGATAAAAATCAAAATAAATGCTTAAAAAGTCAACAAAATCAATATCCGTCAAAATTATTAAAAATAAAACTCATATTCTGCCAAGCCTATGCATAACCATATTCCCCACTGATGCTGCCACATGGGCAGCAAGCTCATTGGGACTTCTACAGTTCTGCCTTGCCTCAAAGACTCCAGCTATATCAGCAGCAAGAACAAGAGCGATGTAGGGAGTGGTAACCAGCTGGGCCCCCTAGCATGTTAACCCTTAAACAGGCCAGATGTAGCCTGCAGGCCACCAGTTAGACAACCCTGAAACAAAAACAACTGGCATGTAGGTCTGAAATCCAGTCTAGAGTTAATCATGCATGTTTCAGGACAGCACCTTCAGGATACCTACAGTACCTATTGCATAGAAAACTAAAACAGAATTTGGTTCCCACTTTTCATGTGAAATAAAGGTTTCTGGAAAGTTATATCTATTCTAACTTTTAAAAAAATGTTACCTTTACAAAGTTGTCTTCAGTCAACAGTGCAATCTGTTTTTCTGATACTTGACTTTCCACATACCTGAGGTAATAATCATCATTATAACCATAAGCATAATATAATCATAATAAGGAAGGTATATTTAAAGTGGAAGAATTAACAGATGAGATCTGGTTAGGAGTGAATTTAAATTAGCAGTCAGGATCTAGGGGGTACCAAGGTTACTGCAGGTTTATGCTACAGATCTGCAATACCTTTCAACTGGCCATCTAAAAATGATCAAAATAACATACATTTCTATAAGAAGGACGAAAGAAAACACAGATCTCTTACAGCAATGGGAATGATTCTACAGCAGGTTCTCATGTAACATAAGAACTTCTTACTTAAGCCAAGAGATCAAAAGAGATCCACAAGGAATTCAAAACTGTCGTATGCTGGTTTTACCCATTTTGAATAAGGACACAGGCATACACAATTGTGCATTTTACAAATGCAAGGTATTTCACAGGATTGAAAAATCTCTTTTTTTAAACCACTAATTGGATACAGGACTGTTTACATTAATTATTTCTCCTTTACCTTCTAAAAGATGGTAGGCTCCGAATATGTTCACATTGTTCATGTGAAAAAGAATTTACTCTTTGTTTAGCTTTTGGAAGCCGGCAACACAGCACACTGAGGGGCTGGGAGTAGAAATGCTCCACAATAGACAACTGAAAGAGACAATACATTAAAAATATATATATTTTACATATATAGTTCATTCATCTTACTATGTCCTATGAATTGAAAGCTTCTTTTTAAAGAGGCTACACAATTTATTAACAATTTCTAAAATAACTACATTAATTTTAAAACATTATAATTAGTTTAATAAAAGTACATGTCAGGTTGAATTAATGCTTTCTAGCCGCTAGAAGTATACGACTGTTCTGTCAATAACTTTGCCATTTTCTGCTGGGCATATTATTCAGCTTTTTTTTTTTGCTTTATACAACCAGACTAAACAGCTGGTCAAATATAACTTGATTAGTTTACTCAGTGAATAAGAATAAGCTTCAACAAATGCATGGGTTTACTGCATGGGTTTTTGGTTGTAGCTGTGTTGGTCTAAGGACATAGGCAGGCAAGGTTATTTGGTAAGATGTGATATCTTTTATTAGACCAACTGAGTAGTTGGAAAAAAAGTTCTTAGCAAGTCGCTGGAAGCAGTCACCCTTCTTCAGGCACCTACTCCTGTAGTCTCCCTTACTCACCTTTGGCTTTCTTACCTTCCCCTCTTTTCCTGCCTCCCTTTCCTGCTCTACTTTTTCCTAATTTCCACCTATTTACATTCTCACCGACATCCCTCCACACTTTTAGCTTTTCTCATTCCTTGGAGTCTCAGAACAGCAGAGACTCCCTATGCCCAAACAAGGATGCTGTGCCCAAAAGCTTGCTAAGAACGTTGTTCCAACCACACAGTTGCCCTAATAAAAGATATCACATCTACCCAAAGAACCTTGCCTACCTTATTTACTGCATGTTTTTGGGAAGGCAAGGAAATGTAATTAGATTATTTTGTCTAGCTGTGTAAATCTTTTCTGCTATAGAATGATTGCCTTTTGAAACCTTTACAAAGTCTGTATGTTTATTCACTTCAACTATTATGTGTCCCTGAAGAGGAGAATTGTAAACCTTGCACGCTCACAAGACTGGAGTTCTGCTAACGAGTGTTCGTAGGGAATCTGGGGCATCATTATTGATCTGGGATGCTTAAGATAGCTGGACTGAAAGGCATCATTTCCATGATGGGGAGAGGCTGTGTGCAAGATGCTTTAAGAAACCAAGGAAAGTGACAGCATCTTAAGAGCAGAGTTGTGGGATCCAAACAGCAGCATGGGAAGTACTATCAGGCTTAGGCTAGCCTGCATATTTATTTCCCCCTCCCCCAGCCCTACCCACCCACCCCCAAACTGATTCTGCCCTTTGAAGCACGTTCTCTCTTTTTTTTTTTTTTCCCAACTTTTTTTTTCTATGGCTTTTGCTATAGAATGACAAGTATTCTAAAAACATTCCCTTCTTCATGACTTGCTTGATTTTGAAAACATGGGAAGGTTTGTAGGAAGCTGCCCAGAGACTTGATCCGACTCCACTATATTCAAAGGGAATTTTGCTATCAACTTCAAGAGAAGCAAATTTAGGGTTTAATAATGTGGTTGCAAGTCATTCAATGTGGAGAAATCCTATTCCATTTTCACCATCTCTCAACAGAATACTTCTTGCCCCTGCTTACCTGAAAGCCTTTGATAAAATTCTGGACAGAGAAATCATGGTACAAAAATATGTTGATTAGGACCTGAAGTACTTTCTCACTTAATTTAAAAGGAAACTTGGTTGTTAGAAGTAGCTGGAGGAGTCAAAGAGAAACAATTAATTTTCTTCCTGAACTTTGCCAGAGTAGATTACATTTAAAGTTATGTGCAATTTCAAGTAGCAATATCAGTAGTGTTCTTTCTTGAATACATAAGTAGTAAAACAGTTATATCTGCCTTTTGTCTAGCTCTTGGCATGTGCTAAAATTACACTACAATAACTGGTTCATATATGTAACCAACTTCTGCTAGGCAGCATTCATTTCAAGCTCCCTCTACATGTGTTGTGCTGGAAAGGCCTCCTGCCATGCCACATGTGCATGACAGGAGGCGCAACTGTGGCATCACGCATTAGATCCAATTGGGAGCCTGGGATGCTCCCTCTGCACTGGCAAGGAACAAGCTCCCATGACTAGGAGCTCCCTCAGCTTCACGCACCTCTAAGGCTAGAAGATTGCAACAACCACGATCTCTCAGCCCCAGGGGCTTCACAGTGTCTGCAGCTATGGGATTCTGGATGCTGGCAGTTGCAGAGATGCTGCCAGGACCCAGAGTCTGCTGCTGCTGGAGTTGAGAATCCTCTCAGTTACGGGACTCCCAGTCTCAGCTGGCAGTGCAAATTAAAGCTTGATAGCAACCAGCTATCAGTCAGTACACATTTCTGAGATCTAACTTTATAGCTAGTTGGAGTGTTTTATGGCTTGATAGGTACCTTGCACATGTGGCTAGTCTCAAGGTAACTGTACAATTAACTGTGCAATACCTGTAACGTGTACAGGGAGCCTCAGACATGCACAGTTTTATTTACTGTTACAGGACATTTTAATGTTTACTGTTACAGGACATTTTAATGTTATCCAATTTAAATTACATGCAAATTTTATATTAATTCCTTCCCCCCTTTTTTTTCTTTCAAATTATGATATAGCAAATATTACAAGAAGCATCAGGGGCATTGTTACTTTCTGGAAGCAAAAAAGATGATCCACAGATATTCTGCGTATGGACTAGCATTGAAACCACACAAGCAACATATTTGAATGGTTGGACATTTTAACTGTACAAATCTCATTTTCATCATTCTAAAGAATTTCCATTCAGCATAATTTTCATTGTACATGTAGGCTATAATGCCATCCTTATTTGGAACCAAGTGAAAAACTTTAAAGCAGTGCTTTAATAAAGGAGAGAGAATAACAACTATGTAGCTCTGTGTATGCGTGTGCATGCATGCACACACCAAAACAAGTAAGAGATTAAGGCATGTATGAAATAATTTCTGAACCATCTCCAGAACTGTGTAAAGAGGAAATTCTTAATAAGTGACTTGATAAGCAGCTTTAAAGCAATGGCTTGATATAGAGAACATGTGGCTTTCAGGAACAGATTCTCCTTTAAAAGTTTTAAGCTAGCCTAAATTCATAGAATCATAGAAAATTAGAGTTGGAAAGGACCTCAGGAGGTCATCTAGTCCAACAAAGTGTAAGATGCTATTACACATGTCCACAGTACTTGTGCATATTTACTCCCACTAATTTATCTAGAAAGCCAATTACCTTATCAATTACTGTTGCCAGGTGCTCCTTACATGAAAGACACTGGAAGAGCTCTATACACAGCAGAGAAGAAACAGAATGAGGTAGTAACCTGTGGACTATCATTGGAGATGTGGCTATCCCAAAAATGAGAACAAGAGGTAATTCATGTATGTGCTGACTAGACCATGGGGAGAGGAGAGAAGAAAAAAGAAAAATGTAATAGTTATACTTCTTTCCTCCACTATTTTCCTATAAAATAAACAAATTCAACACAACATATTCCTGTTACAGCAGCAGGCTAAATGGATTGAACAGGAGACAGGAGCAATGTAAACAAACCACTATAACTAGAACAAAATGAATTTTGACTGGGGAGGGGAGGGGGAGCAGGTGTTGTATATACCACCCACCCCACATTCTCCCCCCGCCAAAGGAAAAAAAAAATAAATACAAAAAAAAATATCGAACTGTATTTTTTTTAGAATACATAACTTCAGAAAGAAACTTTTTAAATATCTGCCTTTAGAGTCACAGTACATGAAGGATTCCTTCTGTTAATGTTATCTAGCTGAAAAGCCATATTTAAATAACTATATTTTGCTGCTTTTATTTGTGTATCAATTTGTTCATGCATTATGAGGCAGGGAAAACTGGTGCATGAGTGGCTTTTTCAATATAGCATTAATTACTGTATGTTGCATGAAAATACTGTACCACCAGTAATTTGTTCTTTAAAAAAATCCTAAACTACTTTATTTCTCTTTGTACGGAACTTTTTCCATTTTTGCCCTCTATAAATCTCTTCTGAGCTGTGATCATCAGAACTGAATACTGCATTCAAAGGCAGGTGCGTCTGTCCTTTATACAGAGCCACGATATTTTTAGTACAGTATTATTCCTTCTACCTTTCCCAGCATCATGGAATCCAAAATGTTTGTTACTTCTCAGTATATATTTTCTTATAGATAATTAATACATTAAAACATACCCACATATCTTTAAAGAGCCCTGGGGCACCCCCTACCAACCTCATAGTTTCATATAGTTTCACAGATTTAGGGTCGGAAGGGACCTGGTAGATCTTCTAGCCCGACCTCTATGATAAGTATTTACTCTTTTGTTTTTAACCTGAGTTTCTGATCCATGACAGAGCATCAACTCTCATCCTGTGGCTACTTCTTTTCCTTAACTACGTTTTTCTAAGGAGTTTTATAGACTATTATACAAAACCAAATAAATACTTGTCATTTATCTTCTATTCTTTCACTATCTTACTATCTTCAAAAAAGTCTAATGAGCTAGAAAGGTAGGATTTTTCTATTCAAAAAAACACTTTTTTTTTTTTTTAAGTCTCTAGTGTTATATGCATCCATAATGGACTCTATCTTTCCACCTTTATTATTTCAATAAGGGTGCACCTTATATTTGAGTATAAGTGAATTGGTCTAATTTCCGGAACATCCCTAGCACTTTAAGAGATTAAGATAATATTTCCTAACTGTCAGTCCATCAGTACAGTAATTAATTTTAAAACTGACAACTTTTCTCTTACTTGTACAGTGATTGTACTGACTCTAGACTTATCTGAAGATACAACCTGAAAAAAGATATGCTTTACATATTGTTGGTAAGGCACATTCTTTACTACAAATTCATGGCTATTTGGAAAACTGAACACTAGGATTCTTTCCAAGTGAACTGTGGGAGAATGCATCCATCCTTCCTGGCATGTAGAGGGGGGTTGTGGCAAGAGTACAAGTGGTGTTTATTTTCCCAGCTGGGTTACATAGCCCAAGTCCAAAGCACCACCACAAAGCTCAGTGCGGACTGGAAAAACCCACCCAAAAATAAGGTAGTCCGCTAAACTCCCTTATGCTATGCATTCGCCTCATGGCAACAACCAGAAAATAGGGAGTGGAGCAGGAAGGCATCAGTCCAAAATCTCAGTTCAAATTACCTGCTAATAACGATGAAGTCTTGGAGTACTTTGGTTGTGAAACTTTCCATGTCTTTGAAGATAACCACGATTGGAGGAGACTGCCAGTGACTGGAAGAAGTTCTTTTTTTGCTTGGAGCTTCAGAACCTGTTTTCTTTAAAGCCATTGTGCATATATTACAAAATAGAAGGTGGCAAGGTATAAAGGTAAGCTTCTTGTCTCCTATGTTATACCCAAAATAGATAAAAGTAACTAACTGTTTCAGGAACACAATACATCTCCTGTTACTGTATACAGCTGCAGCTGTCTTCCTGTATCTGAAGTAAAACAGCCATGATAACAGAGAACAAGTAAAAACAATATACCAGTAAGGGCATATCTTGCCCTTAATCTCTTTAAGTATAGACAGCCTCCTGGCAAAAGAACTACTGTGATTCCAGTGGGAAACAGGCGAGACAATGTGGCCAACATCTGCCCACTTATGCAGTGCCCTGTAGCAGCAAAGGCATATGCTAAAGTCCACCTTCATTTGCAAATCACACAAGTTTCACTGAGGTCATGTCATAAAAACA